AAGAATTTTTATTTCTCTTACAGGTCTGCCTATGATAATGTAACCAAAACAAAAGTAGCTATTAAAAAAATTTCTCCGTTCGAACATCAAACATATAGCCAGAGAACTTTAAGAGAAATAAAAATTCTTACGAGGTTTAAACACGAGAATGTAAGTCAATACATGAATGTATTCTTTTAAGGATTCTTTTTTCATTATTAATATTGTACTATCTTATAACAGATAATAGATATAAGGGATATACTAAGAGCGCCTACTATAGAGCAAATGAAAGACGTATATATCGTTCAATGTTTAATGGAAACTGATCTCTACAAATTATTGAAGACTCAGGTAAAAAATATATATGCTTATTTAAATATTGAATATGCAAATTCTAACCTTATGAAATATGCATGCATGTGGTAATTTAGCCATTTCGGTATGACGTGGCCATTATTCAATGGCCAATAAGACTCCAATGCATTTATTCTTGTATAATAGTTATAGATATCTTCGTATAAGAAGTTATAGATATCTTCGTATAAGAAGTTGTTGAATTATTTTTTATTTGCGCAAAAATGTCTATTTATTATAACATAATTTGATCTAAACAAAATTTATTGAAGAAAAGATACACACGCGACTTGAAATTGAATTTTGTTTATGTACTTGGTGTCGTAGCATTATTGTGTCGTTATATTTGATGTATTATAACTGTCATATTTGAGTTAATTTTTAAATTATTCGACTAATCTGTCACAATTGTTACAATATATCATAAATTGTATCATTGTATATATTATCCATATAGAAACAATAGAAACAACTAAAAAATCTAGTGATTTTTGGCCTAGTTTTATTGAAGCTTAGTACACAAGAAAAGCTATTTTCTTTAAAAACCATTCGTATTATAACTGTTCATTCTTATAATTTTATATATATTTCTGAATTAAATAAGCATCAGTTACAATCATTAAAAAATATTACGAAGTTCTTCTCTACTTTAATTCCCACTTGCCGAATCCCGGACACGACGAATTTATCCGCGCGGTTAAAAGATACATTATAACTTGTTTACCATCATTTATTACAATTTTTATAATTTTACGCATATATATATATATATGTATATAATGTTTATATAAGTAACCCTAGTTATAATGTTAAGGCGTAAAATACCTGGTATATTATAACTAAAAAAAGAACTTGTATAGATACAACAACAAATAGCCAAATATAAATTTTTATTTCAGGCTATTAGTAACGATCACATATGTTACTTTCTGTATCAAATATTACGAGGGTTGAAATACATACACTCGGCAAATGTGCTACATAGAGATTTGAAACCCAGTAATTTATTATTGAATACCACTTGTGACCTTAAGATCTGCGACTTTGGTTTAGCGAGAGTCGCAGACCCCGAGCACAATCATGCGGGTTTTCTTACGGAATATGTGGCAACAAGATGGTACAGAGCTCCAGAAATTATGCTTAATTCTAAGGTATTGAGTCTTCTAATGAAAACACTGTTGAATTATGTACTTGAGAAAACGAGAAGTTGCTTACATGCTATTATAATGCATTTCTTTTGATTTAGGGCTACACTAAGTCCATAGACATTTGGTCGGTTGGTTGCATCTTAGCGGAAATGCTCTCGAGACGAGCGATATTCCCCGGCAAGCATTATCTAGACCAATTAAATCATATTCTCGGTGTTCTTGGCTCACCTTCTCCGGAGGATCTCGAATGTATTATAAATGAAAAAGTACTGGTTACTCTCACGCCTTTAAGTAGTTTTAAGTTTCATTCTATACAATATATTTAAATCGCTTGTTTCGCTCTTCGTTCTTCGATTTATATTCTGTCTGTAACGGAATGACGTTAAAGCATTGTCATTTCAGGCACGTAATTACCTACAATCTTTGCCTTATAAGCCAAAAGTACCGTGGACAAGTCTATTTCCTAATGCTGATCCGAGAGCTTTGGACCTTTTAGATAAAATGCTGACATTTAATCCCAATAAACGCATCATAGTGGAAGATGCACTTGCGCATCCTTATTTGGAGCAATATTACGATCCTGCCGATGAGGTAAGTTTGAGAATGAAAAAGAAATATAGATTAGAAATAATAGATTGGACCCAGATTTAATAGAGAAATATAATAGATTAGAATAATGTAGAAAAATATAATGGTTGTTACTCTATAATAACGAATTTTTAACATTTATATTTGTATTTAGTATTTGTATTAATTTTAGCCTGTGGCGGAGGAACCGTTTAAATTTGACATGGAGTTAGATGATCTTCCGAAAGAAGTATTGAAACAATATATTTTTGATGAGACCATACTGTTCCAAAATCGTCAAGAAAACACTATGTAGTCAACTGATAATTATTAATACGCCTCTGTTAATTCTTGTTATTCGACGATGTGTCAATAATTAAATCCTGTTTCTTTGTTTTCTTTATCAGGCATATCGTTGTCGAAATTGCGATAGTAAATATGCGTGATAAGCAAAATGCTAAAAAGAGATAAAAATAGAAAAAAAGAAAACTACGACAGAATAAGCAAAACAGCGAAATCGATGTAAAGAAAAACATTTCAGCGATCGTTTCATCACTCTAATAATTCTTAAGCCCCTGGAGAAACAAAAGTATGCTAGGATATCGACAAAAAATTAGTTAAGCGAAGTTAATGAACGATTAATCAGTTGATTAATTGGACGAAAAAAACGACCGCAGTGACCGCGTATATGTTTGTACACTCGCATATTCTTACTGAAAAGGAAAAAAAAATATAGTGTTTCTCATATGTTATATCGAGAACAAAATAGTATAATATCAACTGATACATAGGCATTAATATAGTCTTTTTTAAATATCAAGAAATAGTAACCAATTGTGCCAAGTGCACGCATTAAGCGCTAAGATTATATATTATGCGCTCTGAACACGGGTAATGGAAAATAGTCTGCCCGTCGATTGGACAATCGGTAGTTTCATATGTTACGTGACAAACGGTATCCTGTAATATGTAAACAATATCATGTGCAAAATGCGTTGAGTATAAGTATTTATACCCAACGAAAGAGACTTTATTAATGCCTGTACGTGTACAATCTCTCTCTTTATCATTGTCGTACTATATCGGACTGTACTGTACTACACGTGTACCGTCTGTGATTTAATTGTAAATTGCGAATATGGTGGGGCGTAACACGCGACGCAGTCTCTTCGTTCTATCTCCTCTTTTTAAATTCTGTTTACTTCGTAAGTAAGAAGATTGAGAAGAATATACACGTAACGATACGGTGTAACAGGCAATACAATTCGACTATCATCCCAGCAAACACCAAGTAACGGTGAGACATAATATCAATGTTGCAATTTTCCATTCAGTTAATATAAATGCAATTTAACATGCGTGTTATGTTGCATTTATATTGCTGAGCGAGAAATTATAACACTGATGTTACGTTACTGTTGCTTTGTGTTTGCCAGGATATCTTGGTGTTCTTTGTCGAAACATCGGAACTATTAGCATCGAATATCTCCTTCATGATTTCCCCTCTTTATAATCTTTATATTATTTATTTTGTATGATATTTTCATCTTATATATGGGTGAACGGGCGCGCGTGCGCGAGAGTGTGTATGTGTGTGTATGTGTGCGTGCGTGCGTGCGTGCGTGCGTGCTTAAATTCATTTGATATTTAATGTATCTTTGATAGTTAACCGCTATAGCGAATATGACTTGCAAGCGCCACAGTCGACGTATTTCTCTCTCTCTCTCTCTCTCTATATATATATATATATACATACATATATATATATATATATATATATATATATATATATATATATATATATATATATAGGAGGATAATAGAATATAATTTATGTTATAAAAGAGGAGAATGAAGAACAGAGAAGAGAAAAATCTTGCTTTCCTGAGCGTCATGATAATTGTGCCCAAGAATATTAACATACGAATAAAGGAATAATTCTCCCATATATAACGTATAGAAGAGGTTCCCAATTTCTTTATTTTTACTATTTATGTTCTATATTGGGGATCTTACAAATTATATATTATGTGGAATCTCGACAACTTAATCTACTATTAACCACCAGCGAGAAATGAACCATCAAATCGACGTCTCGGAAACAATCGAAGTTACATCGAATCGACGTGAAATCAACGATGTTTGTTCGATGTTCATTTCTCGTTGGGGAAATCTTCCAACATTACAATTTAAAATCTTTGATGAAAATTGATTTTAAAAATTGTATCCGTTAATTGTCCTCAATAACTACACTTATAATCTAATCTATAGTGAGAAATTCCTTGATCTTGTTTTCTCACTATGAGTTATTAGGAGACTAAGCGGAAATAGTAAGACAAGTTAAAAATGTTAATAAGTGAAGACAAAGAACATTTACTCCTCCTATTACTAGTTATTGACTTATCGATTTTTACGTTCTTCGATACATCCAATAAATTAATAATTACAGAAAGATTCATTGTTCATAAGATTCTTCTTAAACCTAAAATTACATCAATTACAATTCTGGTTGAATACGACTATTCGAAAAGTTCACTGTCTTCTTGAGAAAATTTGAAGTTGAATTGAAGACAAATCGTTGAGTTGAAAACAAATATTACGTTGTTTGGAGAGTTCATTTCAAATCTCTCCATGTTGTTATGGTAATCAGTGAAAACGAGGGTATTCCGGACGATTTTGCGTTTGTCAACAAATCCTCCCAGATCTGTGAGTCCGCCAAAGGAACCTCCGCAGGCCTTTCCAATCATTTCGGCAGAAATCAGGTGGAAAGGATGGAGAATCAATCCACTTTCGCCATATGATACTGTATCGCTTTCAGCGTAGTTTTACGGCTTCGTAGACCATGAATGAGATATCCTTTGTGTATGGAAATGCCTGCATCACCCACTAGATAGTTCGGAAGTGGGAGTATCGAAGGTTCGAAGCGATTTCAACGTGGAAGACCAAGCTCGCTCTGGCCGGTCAGGAGGAAGTTGATGAAACTCTTCGAATGAAGGCCTTCAGCCAAACGAGACCGTCAATGCAGCGAAGTTCAACCTAGATGAAGGCTGCCATCGCAGCCCTGAACTGGCCAACAGGCGTGGAGTTGTCTTTCATCATGATAACGCCTTAGATTTCACTTCACGTTCAACCGTAGGAAGCTATTGGACTTCGAATGGGACGTTAAACCTCCGTATTCTCCCTATTCTCGTTCCATTTGACTATTATTTATTTCTTTCTTTGAGAAATTTTCTTCGGGACAAAAAACTCGGGTTTTTGGAAACCCTCAAAATTCACTTCGACCAATTCTTCGCCAGTAAGAAATCGTTTCGTTTCTGGAGCAAGGACATCATGCGGCTAGGTCTTTTAGTTTTCTTAACCAGTTAGCTAAAGTCTAATACTTTTGCTTAATTATTTATTTGAAATTTGTGTGAAATTGCATTTAACACTGACATATTGTACTAATATTTACACGTATTGTTCAAAATGAGCACCTCGTGTCTCTATGCACGCAAGTAGACGTGCTTCCATTGACCGCATCCATGCAAGATCATTACTAATATTAACAGCAACTTCATTGACGCTTATTATCAACTTTTATTAATATTAGAATTTGTAACTATAATATTTTTCACATATTTGGTATTATGATATATCGTTTTTCGTACATTTTCAGGATATACTGTGAGTTTATCCACGATGTTTCATTTATATTTCGAATGTTATAAATGCATTCTAGAAGTAATATCTCTGCATGTTTAACAAAAATAATTAAAAATTTTTGATACCGGAAAAAATGTATATAATTTTCTCATTATTATTATGAATTGTTTCGGAACTTATGTTTTCCAGAGTAACTTGTTTACTTTAAAATTCACTATAATCTGTAATTAAAAATCCAAAAACAATAATAACATCACTAATTCACAAATATACATTATATTAATTTCCGTGGCATAGCAATTATTCTTGCATCGTTTCCAACATTTTCTAGCATTATACCTTTACAAATATTTTCTGTGAACGATATAAGAATATATTATAAGCATAGTCTTTCAAGATATCATCAGAGCACATTAACATTAAAAGTTCCCGTTTGATCATTGAGGTAAAGCAACGTTGACCATGGTTAGAATATGGATAAGTAGTCACTTCAAGATCGAAATCACAAAGGTACGCATTGCAAGATGAGAAAATGCAAAAATTAGAGCGGTACTATCTTTCAGATAAAATGATCTAACATTAGTTTGCTTCATCTCATTTGCATCAACATAATTTTGCTGCAAACGATATTCTGTAATTGCAATCATTAATTCCTGCAGTAATTCGCCAAATTTCACTTAAGTACTAACCAGCAATTAATCACTAATATTTTCTCCAGTGATTGTCAGTAATACTTTTCTGTAAGGATTGTACGAGGACATCAACAGCCAGATTAATATTTACTCTTATCATTAAAAAACACAAATACCACAGAGACGAAAGCTCACCTCAGCCAGAACGGGAATGTAATCTTTAATGCGACAGCTAAACGTATCAGAATTTTGGTGATCTCGATAACGAAGCTGAATTGATGATTGTTTATATAACATTTTTTGTTCAGAATGACCTCCCAAATATGCTGGCGAAGTTCGTCGGCTTATTCGCGGAACACTCTGCATAATGGTATGTCCAACTTCCAAGGACCCTTTTACCCCATTCTCAAACGCTGATGATCTCTATGGAGTCACCTCAGTATTTGTTTATCTCATTCCTTCTCCATCTCATTCTGCGAGAAGATAGAGAGGGGAGGAAGCGTCGCAGTTCCGAAGCCAAACTTGGACATGCCTGTTCTGTATAACGAGAAATCGCGATAACTTCATATAATATTAAATACAATATTAGGTGAAAAAAGAAAAACTTGACAAAAATTACATTGATTACTTTGGCCTGGCAACTGTCATGCTTGGAACTTTAGAAATTGTTCTGTAAAATATAAATTGTATCACATTCGGATTAATCATGTTACTTACAAATATTACAATCGGTAATACAGATATAGTATCCAACATAGCATATAATATTGCAGTAATATTGCAATACATTCGAAATATGTAAGTATTGTGTGAAATATTACAGAAATATCACTAATATGTTACAAGTTTATATATATAAGTAACATATTACAATTATTTTGTTGCAATATACCATAAGCAGCAAGGGAATGTCAAATGGCACTTTAATGACGTCTTATTGACGTTGGGTGCATAATTAAGATGTTATTAAAACCTAATTTGACATCATTTGACGTCATTTGCTACTTGGTATATTATATATTGCATTAAAGTAAAATATTTCAGAGATAATGTATTGTTTTGTGATATTACGAATAATTTGACTAATAATTAAACTAATTGAATTAATTTTAATAATATTAGAAGTTTATTATGTGCTATATGAGATATTATATACCCCACACCCAAAATAAGAAAAAAATATATATATATGTATATGTGTGTGTTGTGTTTTGAAAACATTTATAAGAGATAATTTTGAAATATCTTTTTGAAAGGTCTCAAAGACGTCTCCAAGATATCTTCAAGACGTCTTTTTAATAAAGTCCCAATGATATCTTAAAAAGAACATCCTAAAAGCGTCCTTAAAAAGACGTCTCTTACATCTTTTAAACATGCATGTTGTCCGGGATTTTTATGGTTGTAATTCCATAAAAAATACAAATGATCAATTATCACATACCTCTTTCTTATAATTCTGTATGGTGAGATGGAAATTTCTTCAATACTGCGAGAAAAAGATTGTAGAAAGCATAGAAGCTTACACTTAAGATTACTATAAGGGTGGATCCAAAGATCCAGGATAAAAAATTGCCATCTATTATGTGAGAAGTCTCTTTTCTCTTTCGGGCACTAATTTCACCCAGTGTCGTACCTTTTCGCTCTTCCATAAGTTTTTTCATATTTGCGAGTTTTTCCCGCAGCTCATCTACTGATTCAGCTATCTCTTCGATAGAATCTTCACCAAATAAATCTACAACGTTCACAAGTAATGGTATTATATATAGAATATAAAGCAATGATACAAACTCCTTGATATTAAGCAAATGTATATAGTTAATTGGAAACTTAATTCAACACTGTCATTTAGTCTCACCGGAATTAAAAAAAGTGAAATAGTGACTGCTTCTTAGTAGAAAGGATGACAAAAAGCGACTCATCTTAGGCATAAAGATGATGACTAAAAGTAACATTTTCTGTCAAATAATTTGATAATAACTAAAACCATTTAAGCAAAAAAGTAACACTTAATCTTATTTTCCTAGATTTATCTTTGGATAACTAAACATATAGCGAATTCTTTTCATAATATGGTTTGAAAGTTCATAACAAAGAAAGATCAAGAGCATGAATAATAGAAATATGCTTTTGGAGCAGTTTTATTAAGAGAGACGGCAAAAAAAAAAATATATATATATATATAGAATGACTATATCTTAAAAATTTAACAGTAGTTCAGAAAAAAATATAACTATAGTGATCTATTTTGAACAATAACGAACTTCTTACTAACTTGTGAAGTAAAAGTGACTTAAACAACTGGATGGTAGCACTATTGAATTAAAAAAAATCTCAGAAGATTTTGAAATGATATCTTCAAAACAATTTATGAAGCAGAACCTTATATATCTAATAAAATTTACAAACTGAGTGAGAGCATTGAGGTAAGCTGCAGAAAATGAAAAACGGGGGATTTAAATTAGCGTTATCTCGGCGAATTTTCAATATTATTTATATACAGAGAAAAGGTTCTTACACTGACCATTGCGTTTCCATTGATCATCGCAAATAATACTAGCTTAACGTGAAATAATATTGAAAGTCATTCATCAAAATCAGATAAACTTTCATTCCTTACCGAAAATCCCGGAAAAACTAAACTTACCGGCGTTACCTGGCGTACAGTTGTGCGTCACGGTCTTCATGATGCTGATCGGAAAAGTACGCTCTTTAATGTTATTTTTTAGTCTAAAGTGAGAGGAACGATATACACATGTATTGATTATCCAGCATCTCGTGATGCTGTGGCGCAGTCGCTGTTCATCCGATGGCGAACATGCGGATAATCGTAAATATCCATTAGGGATGCGTTCGGGGAGCTCGCTATTAGCGCTACGTAGCGCTATTGTTGTTCGAGGAGCTATGTTAGTAATGCCACCAACACTATCATGACGTCATTAATGGTACTGTTTGACGTCATAAGTTCACGCTACGAACGCTGCTGTTTCCGAGGTGATGTGTTGATAACGTTGGCGTTCTTGAAGCTCCGTGAACATTGCTGATAGCAATATGGCGAAAATATGGTTGTGTATAATGTTACGTTAAATTTAAGGTATAAATTTAGTATTAAAAATAAGCTAACATCAAAATGGAAGATTGTGTAGAATTAAATCTACATGATGTTGAAACAGAAAAAAATATACAATTAAACTTTCTATAGCTGAAGTTCTTAGAACACAAACTGATAAGTTATGAATGTTAAATTCATGTTTAATGTTTTTATTATAATCATGTTTTTACTTTAATTATCGGTTTTATTTAGTTATTACTTTTCCTGTCACATCTATAATTATGAGGAATGCGCAAAAAAGTGAATTATTTATATTTAGTCATTTATTTAAATTTATGATCGGTAAGGTATATAATATAATAAATTATTAATAAATTTGCTATATTTAGTTGTATATTACATTCATCGTTTTCATCTACAATGGGTTGTAATAGTGGTTGTATTACAACAATCCTCTTCGTCACAAGAATCAAATAATGCTCCATGTTGTTTACTACACTCTGGCGTTTCAGCGGTGCAGCGAAAACGAACAGACCTCTTCATTGCACTTTTGCACTGAACTGAACTATTTTGTACTAGTCTTTCTCAGTGCGGTTCAGTTCAGTGCAGTTCTAGTGCAATTTTAGTGTAGCGAAAAAAAACAGACCTATAGTATCGATACATAGGGAAATAGGGTTTTCCCCCAGAAAAATAAGATTTTCCTCTACAAATTGCGGGGAATATTTATATTTAGCTAAAAGAAATCCTTATTTCCTTATATATCGATACTGTATCGTCCAATTTTAGCTCGAATCGAAGCGACAAATCGAATGTGCTAGTAAAAAGGAATAGACTTTCATTTCCAGTAATTATTTCTAGTGATCTAATAATTTCCAGTGATTTCTGGTAATCTGGTAATTCTCTCACGGCTGATTTGAAATGCGAAGAGGATATTACGATCGATCTTGACTGTTGCGGTACGCTCATTCTCAATAGTGAAACTGAGCATGTCGCATGCCGTGATGGCAGCCTTCGGGTGGAGTCGGGCGCGCCTTCGGCGACAGTGACTGACGTCACGACACAAGATGGCCGCCGGTGTCGGAAATGGTGTAGCGTAGACGAGACTAGGGCGGTAGGAACGAACCCTGGTAGTAGGTGTGTCGGTGTTTCGACGTTGTGCGCGATACAACACCCTATCGGGACGATGCCGTGTCGTGTCGTAGCCGCGGGCTGAGCTCGAAGCTTTCGGTACCGCCAGTGACCGCTCGTCATACGAATTATATGTACGGTTTGGCACTGTGTCTTCTCCGGTATCACTCCTCTCTCTCTCTCCCCCCCCCTCTCTCGTACTCTTCCTCCCTCTCTCTCTCTTTCTCACTTCTTTCATCCTCTCTCTCTCTTTCTCTCTTATTATTGTTAATGATAAGAAAACTTCGTGAAATTCTCTCGGTCCACGGCGAAGAAACGGCTAGTTCTACTATGTGATTCTTCGTTTTACGTGCATTTTCGCAAGAGGGATACGAGGTTTTCCATGAGATCCAATAATTGTCTCCGAAAAATCGGAGTGTAGGATTGACGAGAGCACAAGGAATGAACTGACTGTCGAAAGATTTCGAGAAGATGAGAACGAAGTGATTGTTTCAGGTGTCGCGATAACTTAACCGGCTTTCTTTTGAGTCAAGGTAAGGTGGTTTGCGAAATGACAAACCCCGGACGGCTATGTAAAAGCCAAGTCGGAAGTCGCGACACCGAACGAGGAATGAGAGAATCGCACAGCGAGATGCCCAGGGCGGGAGATAACAGTCATTGCTGTCACCGTCGCCACTGTCTCTCCCTCTCGCCGTGAGTGTTCTATAGAACTGTGTCCAGTATCATTGCTACTATACCTTTTTTTGTTTGGATCCATAACAGGTGTAGTAAGCCACAACAGGTGTAGTTTTGCTCCAAATAATAAAATGTAATTTCTGACAAAAGGTATTTTTTGTGCAGTCAAAAATAGGAGTAAAAAATTTCATTACAATTTAGTGTTTAGAGCAGAAGGCCGTGTTCATATCTACAATAGATGTAAATGTAGCAAGCTTTCTGCTGTATGTGATAAAATACAACTTAACTTCTGATAAAAGGTGTTTCGTGTGCTGCCAAAAGTTACAATAACACTTAAAATTTGACACTGTTATCTGATAGCATTGGGAACATTGCTAGAATTTACAATTTAGTGCTTAGAATAAAAGTTTAAAGGCTTACTATATTTATTATAGATCTAGACTAAAGGTTTACTACATCAAGATCATTCAAGATCCAACCTTATACTAATACATTGCTAATTCTACTTATATTACTCTATTACAATTACTGTACTAACACACGACTGATATTGTCATTATCACTAACAAGATCAGCACTGTTACTACCACAACCATCACTATTTACTATTTGTAAACACTATAACTATTAAAGGCGGTCTACAATAACCGTAAATACGTACATAGTAAGATATAAGCAATAAGCTAATTGACCAACTACAGTTGATTATTCTTAAATTGTGAGAATCCCATTAATTAATTTGCTTACAATTTATATCTTACTGCATATTTTACAGCTATTATAGATGATTATTTACTGATGATACTATGATTATCACTATCACAACCACTATTATTATTATTACCCTTATCACAGAACAGTTTTACTTTATATAG